GCTGGTTTTCCAGTCACCCTGGAAGTGAGNTTGTGTGGACAATCAATGGTTAGTGTTAGTGCAAGAGAGGGAGGTATACAACTGAAATTACGACTGTGTGTAAACTACTTTTATTACCTCTGCCATCGCAGCGGACGGAGATTCAGTTCACGGTTCCATTCATCTTCTGGAGCATCAAACCACTTAACATACACCACATCTGCTACCTTGTCTTTGTAGAGTACGCTGAGCAGTAGCTGCACCTGCACACAAGGGCCATGCACATATGAGCAAACTCCAGAGAACTGAAGTACATACACACAACGAATGGAAACCAAACCTCCATTTGCCTACCCGTCCGTACCACACACCATAGCCCCCTGGGGTGTCGTTGTTCAGGATTGAAATGTCGCACACTGGGCATGCCTGGGTCTTGAAAAGGGACTTAGCCAGGCCGCCACCACGGATGTAAGTGACGGTGTGAAGTGGGGCGTAGTAAAGACATCCCATACGCCTGATGACAACCTACAAGTGTGAAGTTCACATGCATAGCATAGTCAACAACTAGCTAAATTATCACTGCTAAACCTGCTAGCACTGTATCATTAACCTATGTAACCAGCGAGCCTACCTTGGCATGATCCAGATCCTGTGCAGACACCCCCGGGGGTGTCTGGGGGCTGCCTGGGGCCCCAGGCAGCCACCAGCTGCTCTGTAAGGCACTGCTGCAGGTACTTTGCACCCTCCATGCCCCAGGCTGCTTCATCTGTTTGAAAAAAAATGCAAGACATGCATATAGTGTGATGCCATTGGGTCAACATTTTGGGAAAATACAAGCTTGCATACACCGACCTTGCAGATTCTTAACCTTTTCCATGGCCTGTATCCAAGGAAGGCTGAGACCTGACCGGCCGATGGCATGTTTCTTGTCCCTGAGTACCTGTGCTCTCTGGTACACAGGTACGTTGATACGTGCAACGTGGGTTAGGCGTGTAGCGGCATATAAAATCTTAGATGGTTACAGCAACATCTGCAGCACATACATAGCTTCAAACACACATACCAGGCGCGAAGCTTAAAGGCTAGCTTGGATGAATCACAGCTATAGTGGGAGGCTGGGCACGAGCTGCATTGCTGCTCTGAGGATGGTGCAGCTGCAGCTACAGCAGGTTGCTCTTGTCTGATTGGCCCAACTCTGCATGTGCTAGCTCCTCCTGCTTGGACGGAGTCTTATCTGCAGCTGCCTCTGCTTGCTGCTGCTCAGAAGCACTGCCACCACTGCCACCACCGATGCCACTACGGCTGTCACTGCTATTGCTGCTGTTGTCACGGCTGCTGCCGCTGCTGTGCCTGCTGCTGCTGCCACTGCTGCCATGGCTGCAGCTGTGTCTGTGGCTGCGGCTGCGGCTGCGGCTGTGGCTGCGGCTGCTGCTGCGGCTGCGTCTGCGGCTGTGCCTGTGCCGGTGGCTGCGGCTGTGGCTGTGGCTGTGGCTGTGGCTGCGGCTGCGGCTGCGGTTGCCACTGCCGCTTCCACTTCCGCTTCCGCTGCTGCTGCCGTTGCCGCTGCTGCTGCTGCTGCTGCTGCTGCTGCCGCTGTCGCTGCTGCTGCTGCTGCCGTTGCCGCTGCCGCTGCTGCTGCCGCTGTCGCTGCTGCTGCTGCTGCCGCTGCCGCTGCCGCTGCAGCTGCTACTCACCAGGCCACCATCCATCGTGGCGCCCAGCTCAGCTGCAGGTCCACCATCCAAAGCCTGCTGCATACGCATCAGCAGGCAAAATCATGTCCATGGCATTGCTGTCATTGATATGGGCTAACGCATGTCACAAACATGACACTGTTGGTCAGTAAGAGTGTCATATATGGTGAGCACAGGCAAAAGTTGCTACTAAGGGACATGAGGTGCTACATCATATACATGGTCAGGTACTTTTTACAACCCTGCCTCTGGCATAGTCCTTGCATGCTTTTGTGGGGTATTGGTCCTCTGGCAATGCAATGGCCACCCACAGGGCCAGCTTCCCGACGTGTATACCGTGAATGAAAATGTTGACTTCCATACCATGAGTCTGCTGCACTGACATTCTG